AGTGGCTGAAGCAGGGAGAAGAGTGGGCGGGGATGCTCTGTTGGGGAGGGGAACCTCCCAAGGGCCTGGAGTCCCTGCTTCCAGCTCAGTTCAGGATTCAGCAGGGGTATTCAGTAAGGCCTCAGGGAAGCATACCTCTCCTGGCTCCTCCTCCTCCTTCCTCCTCCTCCTTCCTCCTCCTCCTGGTTCTGTTGCCCACTTTTCTTCAGGTCTCTGCCCCTCAGCCCTCCCAGATGTGCCCCCCGGGTTTCTCAGGAGTGGGTACTGCACCCGGGGGTGCTGTCAGGTACCTTCGAGTGGATTCCGACTCCTGGCGATCTCCTGTGGGTGTCAGAGCGGAACTGTGCTCCGGAGTCTCTGGGGCTGGCTGGTCAGAGTCTGACCTCCAGGCCTTGCCCGTGCACCACCTCTAGATGGGCCCCTGGGTCCGCAGCTGAGCACGGTTCCCATCTGTACCTCCCAGGCACTCCCTCTGCCACCCCGTGGAGTTGACCAGGTACCCTCCTCTCAGACTCATCGCGACCCCATGTGACACAAGAGAGCTTCCCTGGGCTTTTGTAGGCTGTGGTCTTTGTGGGGGCAGAGCGCCAGCTCTTTTCTTCCGCACAGCGGTCGGGGGCCCAACCGCCCACTTTCTGTTCAGCAGTGGAGCATTGCCACATGGTGCTGCCAGCCTGCCACGAGAGGCATTGGCCGGCGAGGGGGCCCTGTCGCCAAGGCAGCATCGGGAGGGCTGAGCAAACTTGAGCCCGCCGCTGCCAGGAGTGTTGTTTGAAAGGAGGGGCTGTGGGACCCTGCCAGGCCTGCCCAGTGCCATGTTCCCGGGTGGTGGAGTCCACTGTGCACCCTCCACTGAGGGTGCCAGCTGTCTCCAGGGCACACAGACACTCAGACACAGACATTGATACTGGGGAGACACACACACACACACACACACACACAGACGTGTGCACAGACACACACATAGACTTGCCCACAGACACACACACAGACGTGTCCACAGACACACGCACAGACATGTGCACAGACACACACAGACATGTACACAGACACGGACACTCAGACACAGTCACACAGAAGGGGACATGAACATGACACATGGACCTACATGGACATGGACACACAGGAAGCCATATACAGACACGCAGCGATATGGACACACGGAGACACAGACATACACACAAACATGGGCACTTGCACACACAGATACACATGCAAGGTGCAGAGAGATACACATGGATGCACACACACAGGCATAGACACGCATGCACTGACACACATACAAAGATATCCACACCAGACAACACGGACACATGTTGGCAAACACTCACACGTAGACACACACCGCACACACTGAGACTCACACACACAGCCCCAGGAGCTGACAGCTGGCCGTCACGTGACAGACTGCTTTGCTCTGCCGTGCCAGGGCCGGGCGCTGTGGGCCATCTGAGCTTCACCGAGATCCTGGACACGTCCCTCAAGGTCAGCTGGCAGGAGCCCCTGGAGAAGAATGGCGTCATCACAGGTGAGTGGCTGCGTCCTCTGTCTCCTGCCTCACGCTGCCTCACTGACAGCGCTGGCCGCTGCTGCAGCCGGCCCCTGAGTCACTGAAGGGAGGTCCCCGCGCGGCCCCGGGCCTGGGCTCAGTCACTGCACCCAGGATGCGCCCCAGAGTCCAGCTCCATGAGGCTTCCCCCTCACGGGCTGCAGTGCCCAAGGCTAGAGATAAAGCTTCCTCGGGTGACCAGCCTCCCAGCCCCCCCCTTTTTTCCTTTAACTGTGTGGGGGACAGTGACAGAGCCAGTGGTTCTCCATGCAACGGTCCATCCACATTCTGTGTCATGGCAGCGACTGCCCTCCCTCTGAGTCCCAGCCCTCTGTCCACGTCCTCCCTGCCTTTCTCGTTTCCTGTCCTCTTAGTTTCCCTCCCCTCCTATCTCCTGAGCCCGCCCCTCCCTGCACCCCAGCACAGGCTGCCCACTTTGCCTCTGAGTGCTGTGGCCCTCCCAGTGTCCATGGCACCTCTGGCGTGTCTGCTGTTTGGCTGAGAGCCCAGTTCAGTCCAGGCTGGAGCCGCGTCCCAGTCCCCGGGCCTCACCTGTCACTGTCCCGGAGCAGGCACCTCTGCATGGCAGACCCTTGTGTTCTAAGTTCATTTCCCTCCCCGCCTCTCTGCCGAGGACCTTCTGAGCAGAGCGGTCAGTTTGGGGCTGGGGGGGAGGAGGGGCTCCTTTTGATCAACGATAGGAGTCATTGATCAGGTTCTGGGCTGAATTGTGCCCCCCGCCCCACCAAGCATGTACTGGAATCCCCAGCCCTCCACCTGCGGGGGGTGCCATCCGGAATAGGGTTTTCCCGGTTAGACTGTCAAGGTCCGGTCAGGATCTGGAAGGAGCCCTGGGGCGCAGTGTCGCTCTGTTGAGCACTGACCACAAGGTCAGCAGTTCCAAACCCCAACTACATGGGAGGAAGAGGAGACTCGACTCCATGGGGAGTGGTGGGCTCAGGAGCCCACAGGGCCGGTTCTACCCCGTCCTACGGGGTGGTCGTGAGTAGGAATCAATTGGATGGCAGTGGGGTTTCCATCGTTTAAAAAAATCCGGGTCAGGTGGCTCCTAACCGTAACTGGCGTTTGAGATGCAAATCATCCAGGCCACGCAGTGTAAGTTGTTGTTGATATTGACCTCCATGGTCAGAATCGTTACAAGTCTGACCTGTATCGGTGTCTGGGTTTGAAACATGACATATAAGCTCCTAGCTCCATGCTCATAGGTAAAAGAAACACACAGATCATGAGAGAACGAGCCTGGTGGTGAAGTGCGGCCCGTCGTGTCGTAACAAGAATGTGGCCCCATCAGAGACCACCTGTGTGAGGGAGCAGAGTTGGCACAGAGAAGTGAACGTGGCAGGGGGATTAGATGCCGCCCAGACAGCTCACAGAACTCTGGAGGTGCTGTGGGCTGCTGGTTGGGCTGCTAACCGAAAAGCCAGCAGCTCAAACCCACCAGCAGCTCCTTGGCAGCAAGAAGAGGCTGTCTGCTCCTAGAAAGATCTATAGCCTCGGAAATCCACAGGTCCTGTTCTCCACGGTCCTCTGGGACTGTTCTCCGAACACACCTTGGTCGTCATTCTCAATCTCTAGCAAAAAGAAAAAATCAAAACCCCAACGCCCGGTCGCCAGACCTGGCAGCATTTCACTGCTAGCAGAAGTTGTCTGTGTTGGGTTCTTTAAAAGAGCAAACACTCTGTGTGTGTGTGTGTGTGTGTGTGTTTCATAGAAACATATATCTATATCAGCATGCATTAGCTATACGTGTGTGCGTGTGCATAGATCACTTCTGTCAGCAAACGGCTCACCCAGTTGTCACAGAGGCTGAGTCCAGTGCAGGTCAAGGCTTTGGGTCAGGTTCAAGCAGGGGGATTTTGCTGATTGGTCTAGTTGTCGGGGCTGATAAACCCAGGAAACAGAAAGAAGAAGCCAGGAGACCACAGGCCGGTGGGTGCAGAGACCGGAGAAACCCAAGTGTGGTGGTCAGAGGGCAGCTTTGATGGCTCCCGGGATCCACAGGCAGTATGGCAGCTGTTGGATCAAGTCCAAAGACTGGCAGTCTTTGAGCCGGATGCAGGAGCTAGACGAAACGGGAGGCAAAGAAGGTGTCCACAGCATCTGCTTAGACATGAAGAGGCCACCCGCCTCCCACCTGCCCCGAGGAAGCATCAACAGGGCAGTGGGCTGAGTGAGGAGGGCACTTGCACTCCACCCTAACCTCCCGACAACTGTCTGGCTGCTCACGGCAGATCCCTTCATGGGCTTGGTTACGTGACGTCAGGGCACATCCAGGGGCAGCCTCAGCTGCCCAATTCCTGAGGGTCCTGGCTCAGCCAAGCGGCCACACAATCTAACTCTCACATCGCTGAGAGTGGCAATGGCTGGTCATCTGTTTCCCCAGCCAGTGGGCTTGACAAGCTAGTTTCGTGCCCTCTTTCAGTGGGCGGTTACTTGTAAGGATCTATTGTTTCCCGCGGGCCTCTGAAGGATGGTGCTGCAGACGTGTGAGCTAGTCTTCGGACATATGGCTCTGGGGTACCAGTCCCTGGAGAAGGTGAAGTCGAGGGTCAAGGGGAGAGAGGAAGACCCTCAACAAGATGGATGGGTGCAGTGGGGCGACCACGGGCTTGGACTGAGCAGTGGTTGTGAGGAGGGGCGGGACCAGCAGGGTTTCACTCTGCTGGCCGCAGCATCGCTGTGAGCTGGAGTGGACTCGAAAGCCCCCGGCCACCTCCTCCCCGGAGCTGACCAGGGCTCCCCAGGGAGTCTGTTGGCAGCACTCCGGAGGTCTGGTTCACGCAGGAGCTCAGCTCTTTCATTAAAGTGCTGTGAACAGAGGACCGTGGCTCCCAGGAGGCGCTGATGTCACCCCAGGAGCTTGGTCGAGATGCCTTGTTAATGGGGTGCTGTTCTGAGAGGGGGCTGCTGGGGTCCCACGGTGGACTGTGAGTGGGGCACGCTCCACAGCCTGAATGCCCCATGGCGATCAGCCCCTCGTCCTCCACGGCCACCATCAGCACCCCACACCAGCCTCCCAGAGGGAGAAGGGGTGCTGGGCAGAGGGGCAGCTGCCAGCAAATTGCCCAGCGTGCCCCCCTTTCCATGCAGCACCCCCGTCCTCCCCTCCGTAAACTCTGATTTATGCGTGCCGAGACCCAGACAGGCAGTCTGTTGGGAGCGCTGCTCCCGGGGAGAGAGTTTACTCCTGATCAACAGAAAATTGTTCCTGAAGCTCCTCGGTCGTTAGTCTCCGTTAGACTGCTGCTGGGAGGGAGCAGGTAAGACAGAGGGGGTTCCTGAACCCCCCCCCACCCCCCTCCTCCCACGGATGTCTGGGCCAGGGAAAATGCCCACCAGTCAGTGGCCAGTCCTCTGTGTCCACCCTGGAGTTTCTGTGTGGTGGGGGACTCCTTAACCACTGCTTCCGCCCTCTCCCTCATGCCTGCTGACAGCCAGGCCTTTCTCTCTCTTCTCCTTGCTCCTTTCCCCCCTCCCCAGCTTTCCTTCCTCCCCTCCCCTGTCTCCCTCCTCCCTCCTCCACCTCTCTCACTCCTCCCTCCCTTCCCTCCCTCCTCTCCCCTCCCCGCCCCTCCCTTTACCTCCCCTGCTCTCTGGTGGTTCCGTGGTTAAGTACTTGGTGACGTCACTGGTATTTCCGATACCAGCAGGGTCACCCAGGGGAACAGGACTCGGCAGAGGCCCCAGACTAGGAGCGGGCTACAAAGAAAGACAGGCTGTCCACTCTGCAGGAATGAGCCACGGGAAGCCCCGTGGATAGCAGCGGCCGGTCGGACACTGGAAACCCAGGAGCAGCAGCAGGACACTAGCAGGGAGAGGGCCGGGAGAGGAGCGTCTTGCATGGAAGGGACTCGGCCCCTGACCAGACGGATGGACGGACACAGTGGCTGCAGCTCCAGCTCACGCCTAGCCACCATTGTGAGGCTGGTGCGGAGCCCGGCCTGTTCCGCTCTACTGTACACGAGGGCACGTACATGAACCGACAGCAAGGCACGTAAACAGCAGCAGCAGATCTTTACCAATCAGGCAGCCTCCTTTTTCTGCCAAGGAGCGACTGATGGGCTTGAACTGCCGACCTTTCCCCTGGCAACCCAACATTTAACCACCAGGGCTCCCTTAGCCCCTCTGTCTCTAGTGATAGTCGAGTTGGGGAAGGAGTTTTTGTTGTTCCATGATGTGCTAGGGACTGTGTAGAGGCTGTATCTTAAATCAACCTCTCGAAGAAGTCCACACAGAAGGGACACTGCGGCCCGTGTGATCCACGGATTGCAGTAATGACGTCCAACTGCAGAGGGAGTGACAGCAGAGCTTGAACAGAGCTCCTGGTCCGCAGAAGGCCAGGGGGACAGTGCACCCAACCATTTGCCGTGGATTCAGCCTCCTCGGGCTCCTTTCTGACCAGAGTCCCGGGGTGTGAGGAGGCTTGTTCTCAGCGAGCCTTTCAGGGTCAATTATGCCAAGTGCAGGTCAGATGAGAAAGCAGCCTTATCCTTTGAGCTCCGGGTGACCCATTGTAACGTTACGCTCGTTTGAAACATTTTCTGCTATCTTGTTTTGGTGGAGGTTTTGCTCTGGTCTGGTCAGTCACGGGGTCTGCTGTGGTGGGCTCGTTGTTTGCTTGCTTTCTGTTTGTGTTTTGCATGATTGCATTTGAAAGCCAGAGCAGGTAGATGTAGAGACAGGAGCTGGATGGCTGATTGCCTAGGAGCATGGCAGGGGAGGATGGGGGGAGATGATGGGGCGCTGACAACACGGGGCGCGAGAAGGAAACATTCTGAGATCGATCATGGTGATGATGGCACAAATCGCCTTAATTTGACTGAGCGATTCAATTGTATGCTACGTGAAGTATAGACCGATGCAATTATTTCAAAGGAGATAAATCACTGCAACTTGCTCTGAGGGTCTATGTGGCAATTCCTGTGGGAGGTGCCCAAGCTGGGGCTCTGTGGCTCTGAGACTCCCCTTCCTGCCACAATGTCTAGTGCCATTGAGACCCACCAGCAGCCTCCTTCATGGAGAAGGGTTTCCAAAAGCTTATGGGAAAATGGACACCAATGCTGAAAGGTACCAATGACCCAGAGGCTTGTCTCACACCACACAATGGGAGCTGAGCTTGGTGGCATTTCGTGTCTCTGTTGCCACGCCTGCTGTGGGTAGCAGTGGACTCAGAGTCATTGGAGTGCAAACCCAACAGTAACTACCACCTCAGCCATCTGAGCCTCTCTCAGTCCAGAAGAAAGACCACCAAAGGCACATGGGGACCAGGAGCCTCAGAGACCGATGGGCCGCGAGAACCCCAGCCTCCAGGACCACTGAGACCAGAAGAAGGAGACGGTGCCTGGCAACCACTGCAAACTGCCAAGACAGGGCCCATTAGAAGGTCTTGGAGGGAGGGGGACAAAAGGACGGAACAAAACCCCAAATCATAAAACAGACCAGGCCTCCCAGTGGTCAGACAGAGCAGTGGAACCCCCGCCACGGTGGACCTTGCTGACCCTTCAGGTCTGGAAGTGGACCCCCTCCCATAGCTCTGTTTTCAGCAAACACCAGACACGTCTGTAAGGGAAACAGTGGCACCAGAAGGTAGGCCCTTCTCAGAGGTGAGAGGGCCCAAGTTCAGAAGGCAGGAGAAGATGGCGGGAGGGAGGATGGCAGTGGGAGGGAGGAGGTGAGACGAGCCATGTTCCAGTGTAGGCACGGCCTCCGTGACGCAAGACCGCGGTGTTGGTTGGGATCCTCAACTGGCAGCCTGGTATGCTGTGGAAACTCGCACCCAGCTCGGGAGGAAAAGCCACAGCAGATGACGAAGTGGAGGGGCCTGGGTGCAGGCTGTGGTGAGAAGCCACGGCCTTGCCGTTGATGTCTGTGTTGAGGGAAGGTTGCTATGATTTT